GGGAAGGGAAGGGAAGGGAAGGGAAGGGAAGGGAAGGGAAGGGAAGGGTGGTTTCCCCTCTAAGAACTGACCAGCTCTGACCTTGGATGTTCTAGGCCAGCCAGGTCCTGAAGTGCAAAATATAACAGGGTACTGTGGTGGGGGATAATACTACCTGGAAGAAAGCTAGCGGGCCTGCCCATATTATATTACTGTAGTAGAAAAAGGGAATAGGCCTGTAACTATAGGGAAACTATGGCAGCGCCAATGGTGCGGGGCGCCTAGAGTTATAGTTCAGCAGCATCTGCAAAGCTGCAGATCCCCATTCCCAGGGTAAGGAATTGCACTGCTTTCCCCAATTCACATCAGTGGTAGCATCCAGTAAAAAGCCATGGTATTCATACCCCAATTTCAGCCTGGACATAGTGGTGGCTGTATTCTTATAACACTGTAGCTGTGTTATAACACAGTGATTCTGTATTTTGTGAGCTCCTTAACTTTTGCACTACAGTATTGTTGAAAAGTTCAGAGGGATGTGAATGTTATGTGTGTGTGGGGGGGTGCTTTTCAAATGCAGATGCTTCCCTGCTAAGCTTGTTTCAATTTTCAGGCATGTTTCCCAAATAGATACCAGTTCAAAGGTCCAAATCTTTCCATTTTGTATACCGGATTTTGCCCTCCTACCCTGTCAGAGACAAAAGACATTGGCGATGCTCCAGAAATGCTCTCACACAGGAAAGCTTTGCCTTTCTCTTTTCTGCCTCCTCTGAGCAGATCATCTGTTGACTTAAGCTGTGCAGCACGTTTGACTCAGTTCCAAAAAAATACTTTGCAGCCCATCGAGGTTCAACCCTAGCACCTGGCTGCAACTCTTTAAGCAGCCACACTGTTTCCTGGCATGGTACAATGGAGAGGGTGTAGAGAAAGGGAAGCGTAGGGTGGGTGGGTTTTGTGAAGAGTTGAGCCACCTTCCTCCTTCATAGTTTAAGCTCTGGTTTCCCTGCTATTGTGATAGTATCGGAAAGTAGGCACTAAAACTGATGAAAGACTCCTGTAAAAGCTTATTCTTACTGAGCTGCTGGGGTGCACCTGGGGAGTCAGCAGCACTCATATCCTAATCTGAACAGTTTACCTTGTTTACAGTGCATCAATTAACAAATCAATAATCCAAATTCTGCCTTTTAAATACCTTACGTATGTAAATTATTCATACCTGCATCTATTTCTTCATGATAAGAGTGGACTGAAACAAGAAGCAGGACCTCCTTCATTGGATATTTTCAAGCAGAGGCTAGACAATCATCTGCTGGGGGTGCTTTAAGTTAGATGATTGTTTTCATGACCAAAATGGCCCCTTCTATGACTGTGTCCCCACAATCGTTCACCACGTCCCCTGAAAACTATGGCTGCATGGGTAAAGGCTGGTGGTCCTAACTCTGAGCTGTGTGTGTGTGTGAAGCTTAATGTGTTGTCTGAACTCAGGCCTTTGGGTGGTTAATGAATCAACGTATTGTGCGACCCTAGAAAATGAATTAACTCAGTAACCAGCTCAGTATGTTGCATGATTACAGTCTATAATTCTTTTTACTTTGCATAACTGATTCCATTTCAAACTTTAACGTGGCTAACGCCAAGCTGAAACTTTCCAGAGGCATTGGACTACTACCCAGCCAATTGCTTGGATCCTAGTTTATATAGGAAGCCCATGAATCTATGGAAGGCAGACAATCCTGCCATGTAGACCGGTCACATGCCCCGTGGAAGAGGGTTGGGGAGTGGAAAGCCCATTCACGTATTCTGAGGCTGAGGTTGAATGCCACTGGCCAAGGCCCAGCATAGGATTCTACCTAAAAACAGAACAACAGAGCTGAGCTGTGTATTGTCAAAGGCTTTCACGGCCAGAATATGATGGCTGATGTGGGTCTTCCGGGCTGTGTGGCTGTGTTGTGGAAGTTTTGGTTCCTAATGTTTCGCCAGCATCTGTGACCAGCATCTTCTGTGCTCCTGTTTTCTGAAGATGCCAGTCACAGATGCTGGCAAAACATTAGGAACCAAAACTTCCAAAACATGGCCACACAGCCTGGAAGACCCACATCAGCCACAGAGCTGAGCTGGTTTGCTCTTATTGGATTGGATAGGTTCTGGTGAAGACAAGGTGAGGATGCGACCATGGCTTCCTCAAGTACTCTGTAATCTCTGTTCCCTTATAGACAGCAAGGGCTGTTGCAGCTGCTGAAGGCCTACACTGTCTATCGGCCCCAAGAAGGTTACTGTCAAGCCCAGGGACCAGTGGGTGCCCTGCTTCTCATGCACATGCCACCAGAGGTGAGTCTTATGCAAAGCCCTTCACCCTTACAGCTATCACTATGGTTGTTGGATTGATTGGCTGATGGATCAAACAACATCTATGTGCCACCCCAATCTGAAAAAATCTGGGTAGGGTGTAAGCCCACATAATATTAAAACACCTCCCAAACAGAAATAAAACTGTACAGTTTCCCCCAATTTCCAAAGCCCCCCAGAAACCAAATAGTTTTCACTGCCCTTCAACAAGTCAGAAGAGAAAGGGCAGGGGTGTCTGCAGATGTAGCCAAAAGAGTAAGATGGCAGCCAAGTCAAGATGGCAGCCAGTCAAGATGGTGCAATCAGAGCTCTGCCTGTTTTTATCTGCGTTGCTACAGATTAAAAATGGACAGAAATGTGATTCCATCACCAGGGCCGCCATCCTGACATTTTTTTTAGTGTATTCTGTGAAGACCCCTGAGAAGGGACCAGATTACACCCCTCTGACTTCCAATACCCCCTCTAGACATCCAGACAAGATGGGCAGGATCAGATTGATCACCCCTTTTATCTTTTCTGCCTCAGTTATTCCATGCTAGATAGTCTAAGGCTCTCCCTCTCAGCTGCTACTGTTTCTCTTCCCTGACAGCTGCCTATTTATCTTTTCCAGCAAGCTTTCTGGTGCCTGGTACAGATCTGCGACGACTATCTGCCTGGCTACTACAGCCCCCAAATGGTGAGAGATTTAAGGAAGAAAGGAAATCCACCTGTGGGGATGGGAACCAGCAAACTGGGGTGGGACAGCAGTTCTTGAGGCCGTTCTTTGAGGTTCAGTTAAAGTTCTCTCCATCCATTCTTGAAATAGCAGAAACTCTACTGAGATGAATTTTTCTGTCCCCACCCCAATTCTTATCCTGCTTCCACAGTCTCTATTCCAGCTTGCTGCCAAATGGTGCTGTCCTCCTAATCGAAAATGTCTGCAGGGTTTGGGAAACAAAGCAATGGGTTTAACCCTCTGGCTTTGGTGCCCATCTTTGCTTCTCAACAATGCCAGCAGGCAGGAAAACAATGATGGGACATGGGTGAGAGTTTGGCATTTGCTTCCTGGTGGCTTGCACTGGTTCCTCATATGCAGATTAGCCTTTAACAGTCTGGCCCTTCAACCCTTGTTGATAAGAATCCATTTGGCTTCTTATGATGTTTGCCATAAAGGATCCAGGCTGAAACTTAAAAGAGCTAGAGCAAATGATTTGTTAAGTTCCTTTGTTGAAAGCAACATCCTAGCCGGTTTAATCTGAATGTTCTCCAGCTGGAGATGATATTAATTAGCACTGATTGGGAGAAAGGAATGGAACCCCTAATATATCCCCCTTTCAGTCTCTCTCTGGCTTTAATTAAGCAAAACATGTAATGTAATTAGAAGACTTTTGGAGGTATGGGACTTCGAAAGAGCAGCTCTTTCCAGATCTGGCATCTCAACAAGCCTGCTGATCAGCTGTTCACATCTCTTTCCCCATGGGAGTTGGGGGCGGGGGGGGGGATGGAGTGGAGGAGAGTGCCTGGGGACCAAAGGGGACGGGGCATTACTACCCCAGTCCAAGGCAGCCAGTAGGCACTAGTTAGATCCTGCTCCCTGCAGTCACCTGATTGCTGCTGCCAACAAGTTTGGTTACAAAGCATGTCACATCTAACACACCATAAGACTGCTGCTAGTTGCTCTTGACTGAAATGGACAACACAGTTTTGACACTGGTGCAGCTAAAGATGTCTTTAAGGCAGATGTTGCCAGGAGCTGTTTGTTCCATGGCTACACGCAAGTGGGGAATGGCCGTACTCTGTCTGTATTATGAGGAGTCCAGAATAATTTTACCTTGAATTGTGTATAATTCTCTACATTTTTATCTCCTCTGGAAAACTGTACAGAAAGGAATTTCCTTGCCACCAGATTGAATGAGAAGGGTAAAAAAATATGGAAGAAAATAGTGGCACAGAACTAGCTTGTTGTAATGGTATGTGGGAATGACCTTGGGAGACAGGAGGGAGAGCCACAGACTGGACAACTGGCATATAAAAGATGTCTCAGCCCACAGAAGTGGGGATGGCATGGGAAACATTTTGGAAGGGACCCTCCCTAGTTTTCCAGAGAGTAAAAAGAAAGGAGGGGAGAAATACCTTCAGTATTGCAAGATTCTGTTAATGTAGCCTAACAATAAAGATAAAGCTAGTACTCCTGGTTGTGCTTCTTGTCTGGACTACCTTGCAGGGCTAACATCTGTTCTCAACTAATTTGATAAATTAAATTATTGGGGATAGGTGGGTGATCTAAAATATTGGGGAGTGAGAGGCAGAAGAGTGCATACAAATATTAGTAGGACTGCATTTTTATTTATTATTTTGAAGTGAGTATTTTGAGCTTTTAAATAGATACATTAAGGACAGAAATTCAGGTGGTACAGCTTCATCTCTAACTCAAATAAGGAAAGATTCACCCATGAAACTGGAGCCTAAGATTCAAGAATTGTGCCAGGTGAGGATGACAAGTGAGACTGTAATGGATGGATGAACCTGTAGGATGGAAACTGGAGGTCTCAAAACTCCCCTCCTGGGAGTCCTTTGGGTCTTCACATCCTGGCCTTACATCCTGCTCTGGGAGAGTGGCTTAGTAGCTCCTGCTGCCACTGCCACTATCTACCAAGGGCCACTGCCTTCTTCCCTTAACCCTGGTGTACGAGAGAGATGGGGTTCCCACAACCTGTGTTCCCTTTCTGATGATTAAAAGATCAAAATGCAAAAAGTGAAATAACTTCCATAATGCCACTTCCTGACTGTATAGCATGGAGGCATATGGCTTGAAGATCCAGCCATTTCTTGATAGATAGACCATTTTCACAAGATATAAAGGAATAAAATAAAAAAATTATTTTTAGTTTTAGATATTAAAATGAAAATAGTCAGGGTTGAATAACAGAGCTGTTTAAAGCCTGATGCCAAGTAAAAAGAAAATAACAAATGAAAATGCAGGGCTCAAGTCACATTGTAGGACGTCTCTGGTCTGCTACAAATGGTGTGTTCTCCCTATGAAGTGGTTTATGTTGCAACATAATCTTACAGAGTACAAGAAGATTCTAATTAAAATTAAAATCTTCATGCCCATCCAGAAGGCTGAATGCAGGCTGAAGTTTAACCATCACATTCTATAATTTAAAGAAGAATAAAGAAAAAAATTAAATAATTCAGTGTTTTAAACCTCAGCTTGCATCCAGCCTTCTGACTGGACATGAAGATACGAATTTTAATTAGAAACAATAGCACAGCCCAGGAAACCCCAAATTAAAATCCTATCACAAATCCTTCCTAGACTTTTTAAAATCTGTTTTTCTGCTGTACTTTTCCAATTTTTAACAGAAGCTGTGGGAAGTGATATTAAACCCAGCCTGAATCCACTGATGTCTCCTGAAGTTCTCCTAATTTCAAAATGACCAAAGTTTTCCAATTCAACAGAGGGATGAGCTGCAGTTATCTGACTCTGTATATGACCCAGAACTAATTCAAGGGAATGTGTATTTTAGGTCTTAGTTGGAAGCTCACTACAGTCACATCAAAGATATTGGATACACTGACTTCTGGTAAATTAAGAGGAGCTATTCATTCTGAAGCTAGAACAGATTGTAGGAAAGTGAGAATAACAGAACAGGAGAGTGTTTGAAGAGTGACAAATGGTCTTGTTGCATCTGTTTCCTGTAGGAGGCGCTGCTGCTAGACAGTGAAATTTTTACCGCTCTCCTCCAACGCGTGTGCCCAAAGGCCTTTAAGCACTTGCAGAAGCATGGGGTGGGGCCTTTGCTGTACATGCCCGAGTGGTTTCTGTGCCTCTTCGTCCGCACACTGCCCTTCCCCACAGTGCTGAGAGTCTGGGATGCCTTCCTGAGTGAGGGTGAGTGATGGCAACGAGCACTTGGGGATCTGTAAGTCTGAACTGAGACCAGAATCAGAATCAGATGGCAGAACTTTGCAAGGCAGCAACTGTCGTGGCGTGAGGTAGCTGGGAGAACAAATTGCTAGAGTCTAACCCTACAGATGCAGGAGACTAAACTGGAAAACAAGTGTGGGAGAGATTGAACAATCTTTTTTTTAGGAAGAGGTATCTTCCATGGATAAAAGAGGAGACTAAAATCTTTCTCAAGTAAGCTTATGAAGAAATAGGATATTGGATGGAGAAGCACATGTGCACAGAAGGGATGGTCATGATTTGGAACTGAGTTGGACAATATTTTGCTGGAGTCACACTGAAGCTGTTTTGTAAGAACGAAGGGCACCGGGAAATAGTGATGTTGCTCAGTGGGCTGAACTATGCTCTGTGTTTTTACAGAGCCAGGATTTTTTTCCCCCTATGTTTTGGAATGGAGTTATTCCAAAAACCCTAAGCAAGGTCATGTCTGATAACTATTTAGATGAGGGGCTACTAGGGAATCCCAGAGCTGTAAAATGGATAAAATGGGAAGTTGAAAAAACATTCAGGAAAAAGATACTACCAAACCACTTCCATATTGTTGCCGAGAAAAGCTTACGGACATGCCCAAGAAGTTACCAAGAATCCAATGTTACGCAAGGGACTCTTGAGGTTTTCTTGTTTTTATATGTATATTTTAGGGCTTGTACTACATTTTTTTGTTTCCAATTCAGAATGATGGGAAACTGTATGCTGATTCTCAGGAGCTATGGTTGAAGGACATTCCTGAGATCCTGAAAAAGATATTTCATCAGATTACTCAGCCTTACTTTGGAAAGCTCTTTTAGGCCAGTCATCCTCAGTTTTCTAAAAGTTCTAAGACTGTAAAGTCCCAGAATTCCCAGTGAGCATGGGCAAAGATTGGGAATTCTAGGAATTACAGTTCTACATCAGCTGCAATACTCTGAGTAAACAGGATAGCCTAGTATACAAAAAATGACTTCAATAAATTCATCCACCAGCATTTTATGCCTGCAGTATGCCTGCATTAAAATGATATGCCTTTCTTTGAAGAAAACATCAAGGTGGCTTCTGTTAAGTATCTAAACATTCAGTAGTGAACTAACACTGTGCATAATTGAGTGTGCCATTTTAATAAACACTCATTCTGCTTCCTTGGAGCTCTCAGATTATTCAGAAGCCACAGGAAGCACTATTGTTCAGCGGAAGAACACCCAGTTTGAATGCTGACATGTCCACCCCTAGCACTTCCAGCCAAAAGGGTTAAGGAACATGGAAGGTGTTGCTGCTTGTCGGAATAGGCCTGGCTAGATGGATAGACAGGTTTGCCTTGTGTAAGAGTGCTTGCTGTGAGTCTCAACTGCTCTGAACTCTGCCCTGGCATTTCTCCTGCAGGGGTCAAGGTGTTGTTTCGCGTGGGGCTGCTGTTAGTCCGCTTAGCCCTGGGCTCCTCTGAAAAACTACGGGGCTGCGCAGGACTGGTGGAGACACTGGAGAAGCTACGCAGCATCCCACCTCAGTTTCTACAAGAAGACATCTTCATGGCTGAGGTAGAAACTACAGAAACTTCCTGTCTAGTGAAGCACCTCCCTTTCGTGTTTCTGTCTAGCCCAGTCAATCGCCTTTGGTGTGCAGGCATGTAAGATGTGCACACGTTGATCAATAATTCGCAGCACTCCTGGGGAGAGGTCATTTGGTTCTGGTGTTTACGGGTACACAA